TAGCCCTTTGTCTCATGTGTCATTGCCATTTTTTTTGCCCCCAGTCTAGGGATTCTCTTTTTACTCTTGGTCAAATTTCTTAATGCCCGTTAAGTATGCAGTTTTCAGGAGGTCCTAGTCTTCTATTTCGTCTTCTGCTGTGTATCTGTTTTCAGTTATGTTTGGTAGTGTATTTACGCCGTATATTACAACAAGTATTTTGAGGGGACAGAATTCAGTCCACTAAAAAATAAATAAAGAACACACACCAAAAATACAGCAGTGCATTCTGGCCTATGGCCTGAATCATTCAGAATGATTTACACAAAATTATTTTTAGATGCTTTCTTAAGAAGCTCCAACTTACTGAGAATATAGTGTTTGATTTCCAAATAACTAAAGTTTGGGGGTGTCTTTCATGTTTGTTTTTCATCTCCAACAAAGAGTTGTTGAGGGTTTTAAAGTATGTTGTTGTTGTTAAATGTCGTCGTCAAGTCGATTCCAACCCATAGCTACCCTGTGTAGGGTTTCCGAGGAGCAGCTTGTGAGCTTGAACTGCTGACCTTGCAGTTCAAATGGCTTTGCAGTCTGGCGCATTAACCCACATGTGATACTAAATCAAATGGTTTCGATATCTATAAATGACTAAATAATATGAAATGCCATTTTAAGGTAAGTACATTCTTGGTTGTGTGAACATTTCTTTTGTGGACATTTCTGGTTTGTTTGTTTTGGGGGAGGTAAATGAAGTCCGCATCATTAGGAATATCAGCCAGCACCTTATAACTTGATGTAGAACCACAAACGCTGGGAGCACAACTCTCGTTTCTTCCGTGACCACACTTTGTCAGAGGCTCCTGGGGACACCCCAGAGTCAGCGACTTGGAGGTCTCTGCCTCCCTTCTCCCCGTCCCCCACCATGGTTCCTGGAGCATCTGGTGCACCATCCAGTGAACGTTGCTGTTGGTGAAGAATATTGACTATTCTATGGACTTCTCGGAGAAAGAACAAATCTGTGTTGAGTGAAGTCCAGCCGGAATGCTCCTTAGAAGCAGCAGGAAGACCCTCAATGAGAATGACTGCCACAGTGGCTGCAGCAGCAGACTCAAACATACCACATGAGAATGGTACAGAACCAGGCAGTATTACCTTCTGTTATACATAGGGTCCCTATGAATTGGAACCAACTCGATGGGACCCAACAGCAGCAACATCTGGGGCATTCTAGGGGCAGCAGGGGAACATGCCCCCTTCACATAAGGAAAATGATCCTGGGAGAAGAAGCTGGGAACCCAGTGAGATGCTCTGGGGATTCCTGATCAGAACCTGAGCTAGCCCTGCGGGTGAGGGATGGTGGCGAAGGGCTGGGAGGGCTTGTGTGGAGGCACATAACTAGGGAGACTACTCTCCCATGTCTAGTGGGACAGATGGCTGGGTAGACATACACGTCATGTGTTATCCTCCATGCCTTCTCTCTCAGGCAGGAAAGAGATTCCAGAGTCTGGGGAGGCTGGAAGCAGATGAGGAAGAGAGCTGAGTCTATCTTCCAGGAGGCCCAATGATGGCCCAGCCCGCATGCACAAGGGAATGAGTCTTTGTCACTGGTGTGACCGGTGTGACAGGTGGGGAAGGTGTTCAGCCCTCAGGTGACTGACTGGCAGTGTCAACAGCTTCGATGAGAGAGCTCAGGGCAGTTTTCAAGTTCAGTTTAAATGTGTTAAGTGTGAGGCACCAACTAGACCATCTATGAGCATTGGTGTGGCACCGTGGGATCAGCACTGGACTGTTAATCACAAGTACTGCAGTTCAAATCCACCAGTCACTCTTTGAAAACCCTATACAGGGTCACTATGAATCAGAACTGACTCAACAGCGCTTAACAACAACGACAACAACAACTAGACCATCCAGGGAGCACTGGTGGACGCTGTGTGTTAGGTGTTGGGCTGCTAACTACAAGGTCAGCAGTTCAAATCTAGTACCTGCTCAGCAGGAGAAAGATGCAGGCTGCCTGCTCCCGTAAAGATTGGTAGCCTCAGAAACCCCGGGAGCCGCTCTACTCTGGAATGAACTCCATGGAAGTGGTGGGACTGGGAGACACACTCCACTCTAGCCAGGAGGCTGGTGGTTTGAACTCACCCGGAGGCACCTCACAAGACAGGCCTGGCAATGGCGTCCAGTCATGGCTTTGACAACCCCGCAGGGCAGTTCTGCTTTGCATACACTGTGTCACCCCACCCTGAGCCAGGGTCTTGACGGCTGTGAAAACCGACATCCAGCTGGGTGGTTCCAGAAGGGGCTGAGTTTCCTTTTCTAAAGATGAGGGGAAAGATTGAGCTGCCAATCTGAGTAAAAGGTCTTCAGCTACGTCGAGAACAGGACACCGGGGAGCCATTTGTGCAGAGGAGATGGCTGTGGTCTGTGCCCTTTTCCTCTTTCTCCATAGTCCACTATCATCTGAGTTCTTCCTCATATACAACCTTCCAATTCCCCAAAATACTTTTTTGTGTGTGTGCCAATCACCAAGTTTACTCCTCCAGGTTTCCAGTGCTGCACCCTCTCTCCCATATCATATGGACCAGCCCCATTTGAGTCCTGGGGATAAGTTGAGAGAGAGGCTGTTGCTCACCCTATTGAGTACAGACATACTGTACGCTGCTACTTAACCACAGAAGACATGTGCTATGCAAGCCAAGTGGTGTGGAGGAAGAAGATTCCTTTGTCTTGGAACATTCTCTCCAGTCATAGTCCCAGGAGGTACCCTCCGCGCTGCAGTTTCCCATGGTGCTCATATTTTCCAGAACAACACAAGAGCTACCATATTTGTCTGCAAGGAACACGCGTGCACACACCAGTGGAGATGATTATGCTTAAAAAAGAAATTTCTGGCAGAGCACACTCATGTCTGATGGCATTTCTGGAAGTGAATTTCGGTCTCTCATTTGGTGATGTCTGTAAACTAAAGTCATGATGGAGAAGTCATAGATTGAATTTGGTGATCGTTAAGTGCCATTGAATCATTTCCAAGGATTGGCTGGTGGGTTTGAACCACCAGCCTTTCCATTAGCAATCCAATGCATATCCTACAATAATGTCATGATAACCAGAAAGTAAATGGAAGCGAGGACAGTTCTTGGCCAGGCCTGAGATGGCATGGGTTCCTTGCATTGGGCCTGTACCTCAAGACAGGCAGGGGGCTACAAGGGGCTGCTGCAGCTGAACCTCGACTGGTCCCAGCGTCACCTGATGGTACAGGCCAGGTCATACACTGCCCCAGCCCACCAGCCAGACCATCTCATCTGAGCGAGGAACCCAAGGTCCTTCTGCACCCACAACTCTCCCGGCCACCCGCAGGTTCCATGTAGGCAGGTAATTGAAACTGCCTGAGCATAGCAGCCAGTCTGCCTAACAGCTGTCCCCACCCACTGAGTGGCCTCTCAGGCCTGGGGTGCCCAGGTCTGTGTACCTGTTGCACTGGGGACAGACATCCTGGGGAGGGTTTTTGCTGGGGCAGCAAAAAGGATTTCTCCCAGCACTGGAGAAATTGGTTTGCAGAGCCGGGAAGCAATCCTGCTGCGGAGAAACTTCTCTGGAAACACCAAAGGAGGCTGGGGAGCGTCTGCCACTGGGAACAAAACCTCTACATTGGTCAGCACCAAAACAAAGACTTACCATGACTTGCGCTGCTCAGGAAAAAATAGTGAAATTGAAGTCATCAGCATGTGAAAAAATACCGGTATAGCTGTTGTTGTTAAGTGCTGTTGAGTCAGTTCCGACTCATAGGAACCGTGTATAGGTTTTCTGAAGAGTGGCTGGGGGGTTTGAACTGGCAACCTTGTTAGCAGTCCAGTGCTTATCCTACAGAGCCACATTAGGACTCCATAACATACTTTTTTTTTTTTTTTTTTTTTTTTTTTATTTTGGTTTGAGTGAAAGTTTACAGGGCACATCATCAGCTTCACATTCAACCATTCATATAGCTTGTTTCATTACATTGATTATTATCCCCTCCATATATCATCAGTTAACAGTGTTTCTCTCTATCCTCTTTAACTTTTTTGGGGGGGGAGGGGGGAACTTGCCTTTTTGGAATTTACAGTCTCGGCTTTTAGGGAAGGTTTTTACATTTGTCTGTGGATATCCAGGGCTCATGTATGAGATTACTAACAAGCATTACTGAATAATCAGATGAGGGACAGTTTGCTATGTCTACTAGGTGGCTAAAGTCTGATCCTCAGAGCCTATGGTTTGGACGGTCAACAACGCTTGGGCCCACAGGGGCTTGGCCTCCTGACCGGGTCTGCACGGTCTGCATCAGATTCCCCCTTATTTATTGTTTGTTTTCCATAACATACTTTTGAAAATAATACACAGGGTTTGTACAGCATGCAAAGACATAGAACACGCACATGGGTGTAAAAATACTGTAAAGTGAGAAAAAGAAAATAACCTTTAACCTCTGTGCTTTATAGATTATCAGTGTGCTTTGGAAGTTATGTAAAAATAAATCATTTGATCCAATAATTAGTTACTGTAACGACTGAGGTAATTGTTAGAAAACTTGAAAGTTAAACCAGATGCACAGGCCTCAAGGAGCGTTGGTAGCACAGTGGGTGAACTTTCAGCAGCTAACCAAAAGGTCAGAATTTCTTCCTGACAGATGACAGCCTAGGCACCCCTAGGGTGGGGCACTTCTGCTCTGTCTTGTAGGGTTGCTAGGGGTCGGGATCGACTAGACCACAATTGGGTTTATAAGGATTCACCTTTATGAGTGAGTGTAGAGGGAGCAGTGGGACTTGGAAGACAAGTGTGGCATCTTTTGTCTAATGCTGTTGTAGAGTGAGTGTGCGATCTGCTGTGTGTCTCAAACACTCCCGTGTGGACACATTGTCCTGTGGCTTCAACAGTCCGAGGGGCAGGGTTGTGCTGTGTCCACTCCATTGCTTTCCTAGCATTCATAATTTTACAGAATTCTGTGATGGCTTTATCCTCCCACAACGTATCTGGGTTTTTTTCTGCAGGGCGTGTTCTCATAGAGATTTCCAGCACGCACAAGAAACTCAACGACAGCCTCGATGAAAATGTATGTGAACGTTTTTCATATTTACAAAATAGCTTTTATTTTCAATTTTGCGTAAAGATTTCAATTCAGTATGAACTTTTTGATTTCCCTTTCTTAACAGTTCAAAAAATTCCATAAGGAGATCATACACGAGCTAGAGAAAAAGACGGAACTCGACGTGAAATACATGAATGTAAGTCCAGGGTTTTTCTCCCTGTCCGCACCCTCAGCCCTGTGGTCATCCGATGGCAACACGTGTTGGCAGAGCTGGGTGCTGAGCAAGAAAGGTGATGCAAAAGACTGACAGGCTTCTCCTGTGTGTGCCAAGTGGGCTGGTTTCTGCTAACGTGAGGTCTTTGTGATAAAAACACGGCAGGCAGTCTGGCTGCTGACATCACACCACTTTTGGAAAGGAAGCTTTCGAAGGATGACCCATAGGTGATCTGACTGTGTCCACATGCCTGTTGGTTTTACAAGTCAGCACACGAGGACGGCAGGCGTGAGGGAGACCATAGCCACCCTCTGGAGCGCGGGGTCTGACCGTGGGAGACCACCCACCCCTGCTTGGTGTCTCTTGCTGTCACCCTCATAGTGCCCATTCTTGCATGTTCTCTGGCCCTGCAGTTACTTTCTATTATCCCCTTCCTCCTCCCCACAATGGTGAGCCCCACGAGGCCTGTGCTGCCCTGGCACATTTGCTCTGGGCATGGCGGCGGGGCCAGGTGCACTCGCTGCGGTGTGGTGGATGCCACCCACTTTCCATGCATCATCTGATTTCTATTCCTCCACAAACTCCCGGAGACAGGCACTTTATTCCCCGCACGGTTACAGATGAGAGGGGAACATGGATTTCAGAGAAAGTAAGTAGTTTGCTAGCATAGTGAGTTACACATTGAGCTGCTCACCACAACGTCAGCAGTTCAAGCCCAACAGTCATCCACAAGAGAATGATGAGGCTTTCTGCTCCCATAAAGATTTACAGCCTCAGAAACCCTATATAGAGTCTCTGTGAGTCAGAACCGACTCTGTGGCACACTATCACCATCACCAGGCAGTTGGCTGGGATGACCCAGACAATAACTAGAATGCTAGAATTCGAATCCAGGCCTGTCAGCTGAGAACCCTGTGTTCCTAACACCTGTCACCAGACCAAACCCACTGCCATCTGTTCTGACTCATAACAACCCTCACCACACAGCCCACTTGGTTCTGACTCATAGCGACCCTGTATAGGGTTTCCGTCAACTGTTGTGCTCGTTCATTGTGTTTCCTAACATCGGAAATCACAAGCACACTGAGGAACGTGATTTCGTATTACTTACTTATTCACCAGGAGCCCTGCTGCGGTGCTGTGGGATAATGCGCTGCACTGCAGTCGTTTGAATCTCAAGGTCAGAGATTCAAGCTCACCAGCTGCTCCCTGGAAACCCTGTACAGGGTCACTATGGGTCAGAATCAACTTAATGGCATCTAACAACGTCATGTATTCACCCAAGAACTCACCAATCACCCAGGTGTCCAAATACCTTGGGGGAAAGATGGAACATTTCGTAAAAGAAAAAGAAGACATTGTGTTTGTCTCAGAGAGCTTCCAGTTCTGTCCAGGCCCCTCATGTAAATGGGGGTGTGAGTACAAGCAAGGCTGTGCGCGTGGGTGCTGAAGGCTGCGGTGGGGTGCCCCAACCAGCCTCGTATGTGGTGGTGGTTTTTGTTGCTAAATGCCATCCAGTCAGTTCTGACTCTGGGTGACCCTATGTAGGGATTCCAAGGAGCGACTGGTGAGTTTGAACCACCAACTTTGCAGTTACTGTTGTTGTTGTTGTTAAGTACCATCGAGTCGGTTCTGACTCATAGCAACCCTGTATAGGGTTTTTAAGGAGAGGCTGGTGATTTTTGAACTTCCCACCTTGTGGTTCAAACTAATTGTTCAGTCAAGTGCTTATCCTACAGCACCACACCAGGACTCTTGCATGTTATTAATGATGTTAAGTGCTGTGGAGTTTTTTTCTGACTCATAGCAATTATATACAAGGTTTCCGAGGAGCATTTGGTAGGTCTGAACCAGCTTAGTAATCCAGTGCTTATCCTACAGTGTCATACCAGGACTGTGGTGGTGGTGTGTCGCCGAGTTGGTTCCAACTCACAGGGACGCTGTATAGGGTTTCTGAGCCTATAAATCTACGGGAGCAGAAAGCCTCATCTTTCTCCTGCAGAACAGCTGGTAGTTTCGAACTGCTAACCTTGAGGTTAGCAGTTCAACTCGTAACTACTATGCTACCAGAGCTCCTTAGGAATGTGGAGGCATCAGCAAAAGTTCCCACAAGACAGGCGGTCTGGTGCTACAGTTCCTTTAGTTCCAACTCTTATTTTCAGGCAACTCTCAAACGATACCAAATAGAACACAGAAGCAAGCTAGACTCCTTGGAGAAGTCACAGGCAGAGCTGAAGAAGATCAGAAGGAAAAGTCAAGGCGGACGAAACGCACTCAAGTACGAACACAAGGAAACAGAGGTGAGTTTGCTGCAACATTTCATTTTGTCATTGACCATTTGTACAGCTAGAGGATTGGCTGACTTACCTCGGGTAGTCTGAACTGTTGAGGCGAAATATGAGCTTATTTGATTTAATAAGGGTAAAAGCTGCAGAGCTTTCAGGACTTAAGAAGAATTATTGAGTCGGAAGGGGCAGAGACTGTCCATTTTACAGATGGGGACGCCGAGACCTAGAGGTTGAGTCCTCTGGTCGGCATCCAGGACGGGGATTGGAACCTGGAACTCTTGGGTTCCAAAGTCTACGTCTTTCCCAGAGAACGCAACCTGATCCCTGCTTTACAATGTAATACTTTTGTGCAAATGATCCCCTGGAAGCCTAAGGCCCTGGCAACCTCCCTCCCCAGATGAGTCAGGATCTTTAGTGAGAATGATTTTATCTAGTCTGCTGCCTGTGTGCAGCACCATCAAGTTAAACCCAGGGGGAGAACGGCGGGAGAGACGCACTCATTCCTCGAGTCACACCTGTGTTGTCGCTGTCGTTTGTTTTCCTAGTACGTGGAAACCGTAATCTCGCGCCAGAGTGAAATCCAGAAATTTATTGCAGATGGTTGTAAAGAAGCTCTGCTGGAGGAGAAGAGGCGTTTCTGCTTTCTGGTGGACAAGCATTGCAGTTTTGCAAACCACATCCATCACTACCACCAGCAGGTGTGAGCCCAGGCATGAATAACCATACTGTAACTGCCGCTTGTGCCCCCAAAGAAAGGGACAGGCCTGCTTTGCCAATGAGATGGTTCCAGAGGGAGCAGCCTTGTCCACCTCTAATATGTGAACTCTTAGGAATGTCAATTAAAGGGTCACGTGTCTGTTTATCCTACTTCATGAATTCAGTAATATAAGAGGCTTCCAAAAGTTCCTGGAGAAAGGAAATGAAAAGATCATGGAGTTCCCGGGCACTTTTTGCAGCCCCCTTGTAGCATAATGCTTCATTGTTGGTCCTTTTTCTCACAAGGAATTGGCTCTGCTCAGACTCTATGGCCTCTCTCATCCACTTCCTTTGGAAACGTGTGAGAAGCCCAGTTTCTGGGTGTGTAGGATACTGTCCTGGCTGCGTTGTCTCAGGCTGCAGACCCTGTCACGTGCCATGAAGCGCTTCGCTGTCTTCCCTTTTCTGGAGAAGCAGGTTGAGCATGGTGCACAGTGTTGGGCTGTCATAGTGCATCAGGGCCACAGTGACACCAGCCTCCTGCAGCCCACCTGCAAGCACACGCAGACTAGTAGTGACAGTGTGCTTACCACACATACAGCTTCAGGAGACGTCCCCTGCTGCCCGGGAGGAGGGGGTTCACTGAAGGGCTTTGGGGAGACCTTTGGGAGTCCAATCACAAGAAGCGGAGCCAGGCTTGGTGGGGGAATCCCTGCCTCTGTTTCTGAAGCTGTGGCCCTGCTTCCTTCGCAAAACTTGCAGCCTGTTTCCCCCAGAACCTCCATGAAGCATGGTGGGGGTTAGTATAGACGATCCCACCCTCCCCTTTCGTTAGTTCCATAACTTTTCATTGTGATTTCAATGAACATTTACAGAGCACATTGATCTCCCATTCAACAGTTCATACACATCTTGATTTGTGATATTGATTATACTCCCACAGTATAACAGTGTGGTGCCCACTTCCTCCCTATGTTTCCCATTTCCATTTCTCCTTCATTCACCCTTCTCCCTTCCTGCCTTCGGAGCTTTGATCTCGGAGGGCTGAGTGTTCTCAGGTGGCTCCTGTCTGCCTTGTAGGCCTGTCTGTCCTTGGGGCTCCCCTTCTATTGTTTGAACTTGTCTGTCATCATTTGTTGGCCTTGTGTCAATCTTCTCTCTGGATTGAAACTCAGAGAAAGTGCATTTCTTTGGAGTGGGAGCTGTCCACGTCACTCAGTGCTCCGCCCCAGTCGCTCATGAATGTGAAGCCACTCACTGAGCCTAACACAGAGCTTACTACTGAAGCCAAGACCATGTCATCAGTGATGTTGTTTGATGTCTTCCAACAGTGCCTGCTTGTTTTTACCTTTGTCTCTCTGGGGTTTGTAGTCTGCAGAGTTGCTGAACTCCAAGCTGCCCTGGTGGCAGGAGACTTGTGGCGATGCCACCAAAGTGCCAGAGAAGATCATGACCATGATAGAAGAAATCAAGACCCCAGTGTCCACCCCAGTGTCCGGGACGCCTCAGCCCTCGCCGATGATCGAGCGAAGTAGCATGGTAGGGACTGGATTTGGGTTGTCTGTTTGCTAGTAGGATTTGGGCCAGATCTGTGCAGGGGAGCAGGGACTTGTGAGTGGAGGTCCCAGGCCCCCTTTATTCTGTGGAAGGGAGGAATCATCGAATCGATGCAAACCCCATGTGAGAGTGGACCCACCCCATAGGACTCCTTGGCAGTCGTCTTTACAGCAGCAGATCACCAAGGCTTTTCTCTCTAAGAGCTGCTGAGTGGATCCAAACCACCAACCTCTTGGTTAGCAGCCGATCACTTCACCATTGCGCCACTAGGACACCTTGTCATTTTTTTCCAGAGCCCACCCTTTCTTACCATAATCACATCATGTCCCAATTAGGAATTAGCTGTGCAAGTCTATAACTCTATGCTGAACATTATTAGGCGTTTTGAAAAATGTCCTGTTACTATTTTTAGTTGTGATGATTCCAGTGCTAAAAGTTGTTTCCAGCGAAGGGAAGTGTAGCTTTCTCAGGGAAGAGAGTAGCAAAACTGATACCATTCATCACAGGGTGAGACCCTTAAAGGAAAAACAGACAAGGTCACTTTCTAGATTAGAAACTCTGAAAAAGTATTCCTGCTAAAGGAATATGTGTATTTTAACTTGTAATAGGCTTTGCCAGATAATGTTCCCGTTCTAAAAATGGATGGTGTGGCACTGTGGGTTAATGCGCTGAACTGCAAAGTCAGTTTGAACTGCAAGGTTAGCGGTTCAAGCTCACCAGCTACCCCTCGGAAACCCTATACAGGTTTCTGACCCAATGGGTTGGAACTGCCTCAACGACACTTAACAACAACAATCTAGAAATAAAGGCACCAGTGTGTCATGGCAGACAGTGAACTCTTTTGGCCAATTGGCCGTTTAAAAACAACAATCAAACAGCAGAATGCAATCAGTAAAGGAATGGGTCTGTGGACTGTAAAATACCCACATTGTGATATAGGTTGTTGTCAACTGCTGTCAAGTCAGTTTCAACTCATAGTGACCATATGCAGGGTCCCAAAGAGCTGCTGGTGGGCTAGAGCCGCCGAACTTGTGGTTCAAACTGACCTTGCAGTTCAGTGCTTTATCTTACAGCTACCCACAGCTATTACAAAGGCGTTGATCCTTGATTATTCTTTAACACAAGACAAAAAGGAGAGAGGAGGTGATTGTGTTGTGCTCTTCAAATAATTCAAAACAGGCCATTGTCCAACTTGAGAGCTTTTGGAAAAAAGGTGGCGTTTAAAAGCATGTGATACAGACCAGAACAGGGAAGCTGTATAATTTGTTTGCTGTGCAGCATTAGGTATTAAATAGACTAATTTTTCACAGGCTGGGAAAGATAATTATGATACCCTTTCTAAATATTCGCCAAAGATGCTCCCAGCTGTTCCTGCCAAACCCTATAGTGGCCCTTTGATTGATATGTTTAATAACCCAGCAACGGTTACACAGAATTCAGAGCGGATGAATAATTCAGGTAAGCGATCTGGCTTGATTTTAAATTCTTAAGTAACAATGTTGGACGTGTTTTGAATAAATGTGTTATGAGGTAGAGTTTACCAAGCATACATGATAGAGCATGTTCAAAGGTCAGCCATACCTTTCCAGTTTCCTCCTCATCTGGGTGGCCTTTGTGGTTCCATGTGAGAGATTTGGTTTCAGGAAAAGTTCAGGACCACATGGTGTTGGAACACTTCACCTCTAAAGAAAGCAGCCCTGAATAGGCTCCAGCCACAGTGGGTCAGCCTGGAAAAGCACCTCATGCTCAGGGATGGAACCTCGCCGGGGGGCTTTCAAAGGCCTCTAACTAAGTGCATGCGAGTTTCAGTGGACCGGGCACAGGCCAGATGGGAGCGGGTTGTGGTCTGGATTTGGTCACTTTGAAAAGTTCATCCATGCTGGGCTCATTTATTTATTGTCAAGAGTCTTCTGAGGACCCCACTCTGCAGCGGTCTGTGTCTGTGGCCACCGGCCTGAGCCTGATGAAGAAGCCGAAGGTGAAAACCATTTTCGCACACCATGCTGGCGGCAACAAGACCCTGCTCAGCTTTGCCGAGGGCGATGTCATCACGCTGCTCATCCCCGAGGGGAAGGATGGTTGGCTGTACGGGGAGCTTGACACCACCAAGGTGTAAGTCCCCTGACACATCTGGGGGGTTCCATGTCTACCCCATAGCTGGAGTTGTTGTTAAGTACCATTGAGTCAGTTTCAACCCACAGTGAACCCTCTCTGAGGGTTTCTGAGGAGTGACTGGTGAACTTGAACCACCAACTTTGTGATTCAAATCACCTTTGCAGTCCAGCGCACTGACCCACAGAGCTATACCAGGACTCTGTAGTCAGAGTTAGGGGAACCGTTTGTTTGTTGTTAAGTGCTGTTGAGTCAGTTCCAACTCACGGCAACTCTGTACAGGGCTTCCAAGGAGCAGCTTGGTGGATTTGAACCGCCGACCTTGTGGCTAGCAGTTCAGTGCTTTTCCTGTGGCACCACACCTTAACTGGAATATTCTGTCTCAGACTATTTCCTCTATGTGTAGCAAGTTAGTCATTGGGCTACTAAATGAAAATCCGATGGTTCGAGCCCACCAGCCACTCCATGTGAGAAAGATGTGGCAGCCTGTTTCTGGAAAGATTAAAGTCCCAGAAACCACATGGGGCACTCCTGCTCTGTCCTGTGGAGTGTGTGTCAGAATAGACTTGATGGAGCAGGGATGTGTACAGACAGGCAGACACTACGTGGTTCACAAACCGAAGCTCTGAGGCAACAAGTGTCAGACAAGTCTGTGTGCTGTGTTTCCAACAGCGTGTGTTAACTTCTTGTCTGCGTCACCTCTTGCATGTTCTCACAGTATTCCATCATGCTAGGTACGGCACATGTAAAAGTCAACCGGGTGACATCAATGTAACTTTTCTATGCACAGAGAGACCCATGAATGCGAGTCTGGGACCCCACAGTACCTCCGAGGTCGGCTTGTGCTTGGTGCTTGAGCAGATCAGACGATTTGTGATGTCCGCTCTGAGTGTATATGTTTGCCTATTCATTTGTTTGTTAAAAGTGTGTGACTTGATTTCTCAGGAATAATCTGCCTTATCAGATGCTTAGTTATGATGTGACATTAACAAATAAACACCGCCCTTGTCATCTCAGCCCCAGGCTGACTCACAAGCCTTCCTGCAAACGAGCTTATCAGTAAAGTACATATTTCCACCAGCCTTAGTCCACCCAGTCCCCACAGGGGCCTCCTGATGTGCCTTGTGACGGAGCCCCCCTCACGTGTCTGCTGTCGGGCTGCCCCATGACCCATACCACAAAAAGGCCCTTTTCTCTCATTCTTGCAGGAGAGGTTGGTTCCCTTCATCATATACAAAGATGCTGGAAGAAAACGCAAAGGAAGCAGCGGCCATGCCCCTGCCAAGGTAGAACCGAGTGCGGCTGACTTGCCCTGGGCATGTCAGAACTGTGCTAGGTCCACAGCCGCAGAGCTGTGTGGGATAGTATGGAGAGAGCCAGCCCCTCTCTCTCAGCTCTGGGAACCCACCCTCCTCCCTGGGGCCCACCACCTCTGCTTATAAAACTCCATGCACTGGCTTTCCGTCTGTGTGTACAGCTTTTTCTGGAATGTCTCCCGCCTGGGTGTCCTACCTTGGGCTCTGTTCTCCTGCACCAGCTGCCCTAGTGCACCAGCCTCCCGTGAGGGCTCTTGTGATCCTGTGTCCCTCCCTCCCCCAGCGCGTTCCCTTACTGCCTGGGCTGCCATCTACTCCCGCTGGCACTTGGTGTGCACCTTTCAGTCCTGGTTAGTCATAACGCGCCACCCTTACAGACGGCTCTCACAGCCGCCCACTGACGTGGGTTCTACTTTAGAAGTAAGGAAACGCAGGCAGCAGTGTAGGCCAGCCCCTGATTCTTTCTCCCGACACCCTCAGTGTCCATGCCATGGTCCCTCAGCTGGAAGGACGTGGTGCCCAGACAGAAACTAACTGGTGAGCGGTTAAAATGCCACCCCTTTCTCAACCTGAGGTCTTAGGTTTTCATGTTTGTTCTTTTATTGATCGCCTTCAATGACATAGCTCAAGTGTCGGCTCCCAATCCAGTTTGCTTTCCTCTGCTGTTCTTTTATCATGACTTTAAGACATATCTTTGCAGTGAGATTCAGAAACCAGTGAAAGCACTGCAGGGTTAGAGGTGGTGTGTGTGTAAGTGTAAACCCCTCTCTCACACACCTTCGATGGTTCACCTTGTGTCATTCTTGGCCAGGGGCTTCCTGGGACCGTGGGATTTGGAAGATTGAACCTTGTCTCACTCTCATTCTGTGCTTGTTCTCTTGTCAGCCCTGCGCCCGTGAGGAGTGTCAGCACTGTGGATCTATCCGAGAAAAGCAGTGTTGTCATCCCCCCACCAGATTACCTGGAGTGTGTGTCCACAGCGGCAGCCACAGACAGGAGAGCAGAGACCTCCAAAAACACATCTACCTTCAAAGCCCCAGTGTCCAAGCCAGAAGCCCCATCTCCTGTGAGTACAGCTGGGGTCACCCGCAGTTACCACGCCCACCTTGGCAGCTGTGTTCTGTCACCGAGTGAAGGTGGTAGCCCTGCAGGGGACGTCTGCTCACTTGTCACCCTCGAGTCTCCACAGTCACAGCGACTCTGCCTCCTCTCCTCCTGTCAGCCCCTCCTTCATCCTCACTCTGTCTCATAAGGCATTAGTCACACACAGAAACCCCACAGTGTGCCAGGTCTTGGCTTTGGGGGTATGGCATCGTTGAATCACCTCTTCTGTAGTCCCTTCCCGTTTGCATTGTTTTCTGAAGGAACGCAGGTTAGATGTGGGAACTCAACCTTCAGCTGGGTGGGAAAGCACTGACCTCTCCACAGCCGCTGCGTGAGTGCCACATGCATGCCATCTCTCGTCCTTGAACGGCCCTGTGAGGACAGGAGGGGGGACTTGGCCCAGGGAGGTGTGGTGCCTCCCACAACTGCATATGAGAGCTGCTGAGTGCCAGGCACTGACCAGAGCGCTGGAAAAGCAAAGAGTAACAGGCTCTGGGGTCCTCTGGAGTAACGGCACATTCTAGAGGGAGGACATGGACCCAAAGGCCGATGGGAAGAGAACCAGAAAAGGGGGTGTGGGGGAGGCCAGCGTGACTTGGATGGGAGCTGGGTACAGACTGAAGGTAGCATGCAAGACGCCTGCCAGGGCGGCACCAGGAGAGCGAACAAAGGAAGCGGTCGTGGCTGAGGGAGAGGCAGGAGCAATGCAATGTCCACAGCGGCCTCCAGACTCAGCAGTGGGCCAGGCCCTCCCATTCTCTTGATGTGAGGCGAGGTCTTCAGCCAAGATGGCTGAGGTGCCCTGAGGACGGAGGGCTGCTGCCAACAGCACCCCCTGCAGGGGAGTCTGGGGGCAGTGAGTTTAGAGCGCCTATGAGGGGCTGACTTAGGGACACAGAGGGCCTGACACAGTGACAGTGTTCTGGAACCCTGAGGTGGGTGCACGCCTGGCCAGACTAGGGTGATGGTTTCTTCTCTTTATGTCTTCACTTGTTTCCAGTATATACGATATGATAGAGAATATGGTGGAGAAGGGACCAGGGGCAGGGACAACCTGTCATCGGTGCCAAAGTCAGATCCCAGGCTGATGGCTGTGACGGGATGAGCAGGCCAGAAGGGAACCGCTGGAAAGCAGCATTCCCAGAGTTAAGAAGCAGAGCAGACGTGAGGGACCACAATTTAAAGTGAAACGCATCCTTGTGGCTGGCTTCTCTCTAGCGCCACTCAGCGGCCTGGGTTTGCAGGAGCGGTAGTGAACCAGGGTACAGGCTCTGGAGGGACAGGGGACGGTGTAGATGGTGTCTGCAGGCAGCTTGTGGTGTCCTGGGAATCTGGCTGGGAGGATGAGCAGCAGGGGGAACTCAGCAGTCGCTGAGATGGAGAGAGATCGCTGGAGCGGAGTGAGTTGGGATGGCAGCTGGAGGATGTGCTCACAGATACAGAAAGGTTATGCCAGGCTGGACCCAGAGCCCACCAGGCAGCCGTACCACCTCCTCACAGGAAGTCACCAGGAGGCTATGGGTGTGCCCCTGGACGGTACAGTTCAGCCCCGGCCACATTTGTTGTCACAGGTTTCCCTGTATTATTCAGTCACTGTGGGGTGCTCCCTGGAGTGCGTACATCCACCACCTCCCTGCATCAGGCCAGAGTGTGGCTCGGCAGCTCCACTCTACCAGGCATCTGGGCGCGATTCTGAACACTGCACTTTAGTGGGAGTTTGAGGGACTTGGGTCATCATCCTGCCTCATTTGGGTCAGAGAAATGAGAGTGTTTGAAATGTCATTCGAAGATACTTTACCCTGTGTCTCTTCTCAGATACACAATAGTGTTGTCTGCATGTTGATTGTTCCCAGTGACTCCTAATACCTAACTCCAGAAGTCTTTTAGAAGAGTGACGCATGCAGGTCAGGACACCCCCCACTTATATGTAAACGGGTGTCTGTCCTGTGAGCTGTCCTCAGCTGGCCTTTGCAGTCTGTGTCCAGCGTGTCCATTGCCAAGTGTCCCATACCTCTGTTGTTGGCCTGTGCACTGAGGCAGTGGTAGTATGCTGGTCTGCTTTGCTTTATGAGAACTTCCCCAGTCAGGGTGGCTGTGCCTGTCTGGTGGAACCGTCTGCCATGACGGGAGTGTTCCAGATTCACAACTGCCCATGGGGAGTGGCGAGCACCATGTCTTTATGAAGGTTGGATAATGCCTTTTAAGGGAAAAGATGCTTGCCTGAAACTCAGTTAGTGCTGGAATGATGAGAGAAAACACTGGCGTCTCAGCCAAGACAGCTGCCAGATTTAGAAACAGAGCATGTCTCCACCGTATTTACATTAGTCTCCTCACCACGTGGTAGACAGAGGAAGCTCTGGTGCCATGGGTCTTCAGTACTTTGCTGCATTTGATCCATTGAAAAAGTCATGTTTTCAAACATCACTGTTATTCCACGTTTGGTCGTTTAAACTTTAGGTGGCCAGATCTGTCAGAGGTGAAGACTGAATTGGGAGGTGCTCAGACTGAGTAATAAACCCAGAATTGCAGGCAGCACCCCACCTTCCTCCTCTCCCCACTCTTCCTTGAGTGGGACTTCAGGTCATAAGTTTCTCCCAGGCTCTGGAGGCGAACTTTGACCACTTGGGCCCACCTGGTAGGTCCTGTCGCCTTGGCGACTGCCATTTGCCGGCTGTGCTAACCAGACACTGAGGTGCGTCTCCTGTTAAAATGCACCTGGCAGTGGGCACAGCTACATACCTTCAAACAGCAGAGTCCAATTCAGTCAGAAATTGAAATATCTCAATTTCTTATTACACCCTTTAAAAAAAAAACTTTTAAATTACCCTTCTTCTGTTTTATAAAAATAACTGAGAGGCTTTGAGGGTGAGAGGGAAGAGATTTTAGAAAACCTTGAATCGTATAGGCGCTGAAGACTAATGCACAGTGTTTAAATGCAAGGTCGGTGGTTCAAACCCACGAGCCGCTCCTCGGAAAACCTCTGACGTGTCACTGTGAGTCAGCACCAACTGGACAGCACTTAACAAGTATAGTGTTAAGAAATGTTATATTTTCTGAAACCACATTCACCACAAGCCAGTGAGGCCACAGTGAGGCTCTGCCCTCGGACACCTGAGTACAGACATCCCTCATTTCATCTCATTTCACATAAAGGATGTTTTGTTGTTGCTTTAACAAACTGAAGGTTTAGGGCCACCTTGCATGGAGTCTCTGGGCTCCATTTTTCCAACTGTGTGTGCTCATGCTGGGTCTGTCACTTGGTGGTTCTCCCATTGTGTCCAGCTTTCTCAGCATGCGATGGCACACTTCATAGTGCGACAGCCTGTTGTCAGCATCACGCTTAACCTGCTCTGGGAAACCCAGAAATGCGTGTGGCTCACTCAGTTGCAGTCTTTTACTATGGAGGTCTGGAACTGAGCCCAAGACATCTGTGAAGTCAGCCTGCATCTGCTTGGCCTCTTCATGTCCCAGGCAGTGAAATGGACAGAAGAGGATGGCCTAGAAGAATGGCTGCTGCTTTCTCGGGTCCCTCTCCGCTCATGAGACAAACAGCATTGTCCTCCAGGTGTGGTTTGTTGAGGGATTGATGTGATGGCCTGGGTGAGGAAAGCCTCCTGGTTCTGGGCACTGTTGGCTGTGACTCTAGGGGCATCTTCCCCAGTCTCACCATGTAGGGTCTGTGAAGCATTCAGGTGGGTCTAATCTCAGAATGAAGATGCAGAATACAGAAGCGCATTCCATTTCTATCACGAAGGTCATTTACATTCTTTGAAGAAACACGTCAAGATCCCAGGCAAATGCCACAGAGAAAAAGAGGAGCTGTCTTCCTAATAGACAAGCTGCTGCCCCTCTAGTCGGGCTGTAAGAACACAGCTATGCCAAGCAGGCACCCAAAGAGCCAACCTGTTCTCAGAAGGCCTCTTGAAAAGACAGCAGGAGGCATAGGATTTCCTGATGGGAGTCTGGGAGCGGGGAGTGAAACCAGAGAATATTTGGATTGATACTGCACAGAACTTTCTGGAACATTCTGAAAGGCACTGATGTTTCAGAACTGCTCTGCACTAGGCACATGTGGCACTGCAAAGTGGATAGTGCAGCTGAGGAACTGCTTTATTGTATTTCATTTTAATATATTTGAATAACCAGATGAAACCACGGTGTCACCATGACCAAGGCCTCTGCTGAGAGAGGAGGGGAGCTGGGCACACTGTCCTGGAGGTGTGTACCCCAAAGGCTCCCAGAGCCAACCAGATTGCATTTTTGATGCCTCTGAGTTACGGCGTTAGAGAAGAATACTGACTATACCATGCATGGCCTGCTAGAAAAACAAATCTGCATTAGAAAACGTACAGCCAGAATGCTCCTTCGAAGTCAGAGTGGTGAGTCTTTGGAACATGTCATCAGGAGCGACCACTCACTGGAGAAGGACATCGTACTTGGACTTACACAGTGGCTGCAACAATGAAATGGGCTCAAACAGAGCAATGCTTGTGAGGGTGACGCTGGACTGGGCAGTGTTTCATTCTGTTTAATGCGGGGCTGCTTTGAAGTGCTGGAACCAACTCTCTGCCACCTAATAACAAACCAGCCAGCTGATGATGGTGGAGGAAGGTGCAGTCGTATCTCAGGCCAGCCACTGGGACTCACGGGAGTTGGCAAAACACAATCTTATTTACAGAAACCAAACACACTGATTTTAGAGGGAGTCTTTACACAGACACTGGTGTTACATGAGTAGTTTTCTTAAAATCGCAGGCATACTTAGATGTACACCGACATCTCTACAGGAGCCATCCACAATTATTCAAATATATTAAAACGAATGTTTTCAACCCACTCACCGAGAGGGTACTCAGGGGGCCCCCTGAGGTGCTCCCTCCACCCTCTGAGGCGGCGCTGGGGATGGAGCTGGAGGGCAGCCGGTCCACTCACGTTCTTTACCTTAGTTATAGCTCAGCAGGAGTTGGCTCCCTCCTAACATGTCTCCAATCACATGGCCAGGCCTTTAGCACACAAAGGTCTCCGAGCCTGAGTTCATTGGAGGTGCCCTTCCTAACTTGGCACCGGTACTCTGCTCTCCACAACGTGTGTATATGTATGTGTGTGTGTATGTATGTATGTATGTATGTATGTATGTATGTATGTATGTATGTATGTATGTGAGCAAGGGCAGGACTGCAGTCAGCGCAGGCCGTTACCAGGAATCTTCTAGATCACCAGAGAGAAGGCATCCGGCCTGTGGACGTGGGAATGGATTGGAAGTGCCACTTTCCTGGAAGTGTCCCCCACTCAGATCCACACACGGGAGAGGGCTCAAGGGGCATGCATGCGTCTGTGAGGGAGGCTGCCCTTGCTCCTGACCCTCAGGTCTCAGGAGCCCCTTCCCCGGCTCAGTCTGGGCAGCTGTTTTACGCTGTGGTGATTCCTGCATGAGGAATCATGGCGCACCCTAAACGTGACTCCAGCCAGCTCTGGTCCTGGAGGGAAGGAGCTCTCCCTCAGGGGCCTGAGGCTGTGTCCTCACCTGGCTCTGAGGTCAACAGCACACACAACACACAGTGACCCAGAGCAGACACTGGAAGTCCTCAGGCCATCTGCCTCCTGCTTCTGATGAAGACTCGGAGGCCCAGGGACGGCTCCCGGAAGGACAGACCTGAGGTGACACTCTTCCTGCTCCCGCATTCTGTCTGGAGAGACCTGGCCCGGCCAGCTGCCCTCTCTTGTAACCTTGGAGTCCAGACAGCTGGCAGCTAGTGCCACACTGCCCTCTCCTGGGCGTCTCCAGAACTACCGCCCCAGGCGCTAGCTCAGGAAAAGCTTTTGAAGCGAAGTGCACAGCCACCTGCTATTCCCAGGCCTAGACCCATGAGCGTGTCCTTCGCTGTCCTGTATCCCAGAGTGCCCTGCCGCTATGGTAGGTGCACCTAGCCACCCAGCAGGGTTCTTTTCTATTATCTTGTGCTATCACCTGGGACTGGGCTCCCACAAAGCCAGCTCAGTTGTGACCTTTGTTCAACGAGGAGAGCCAGGCTCTACTTCCTGCAAATGGAGCCGGATGGGGCACATTAACAGGGCAGTGTTCTTCTGTCATGGGCTCTGCATTTCCATCTTCAGGGACAGGCTGGTCCTCACCCTCACAAAGTGGTCTCTTGTCACATGGCCTTCAGAATTTCCCGCCAAGGGTCTGCCTTCCGGTCATACTAAACCCAAACCCACTGCAATTCCAACTCTCTGAGAGCCTACAGGGCTAAGTCTTTCTCGGGGTGGGGGGTGCCAAGTGTCACATCTTTCCCTGCAGAGCAGCTGGTGGGTTCCAGATGCCAACCACTCATTAACAACCAGATAGTTAACCCACTGCCCTACTGGGGCTTTATGGCATGCTAAATAGGCCCCCAATTCTGAGTTTTCTATAACCTCACCTTTCTCTTCTCCACAGAATGCCAATGGGACTGCGAAGCCGCCTTTTCTAAGGTAGGTTTCGTCTCCATCACGTACCTGTGCGGCCCCTCTGGCAGGCAGCTGGCATCACTGCTAGCTCCCAGGACCCCGAAAAGGCCTGGAGGAAGTGCTAGGGCCCCGCATACCCACTAGCAGAGTGGAGGTGCAGCGAGTCTGCCCCATCCAAGCAGAGGGGGATCTCCCAGTCACAAGTCACGCGGGCGACTTCATCCGACCCTGGCCCAGCTTCTCTCCTTGTGACCACCTCTCTAACCCCCTTACCAGCAAAGTATGTTCAGACGACACTGGTCAGGGACTGGTGTCCAGCGGGGCAGGGGTCGATTTTACCATTGGGCAGAGCAGGGACAGCAGCTCTGTCTCTGAATAGTCCTCCTAATGGCATGTCCTCCCCACAGTGGAGAGAACCCCTTTGCTACCGTGAAACTGCGGCCGACAGTGACCAATGACCGGTCAGCTCCAATCATCCAGTGAGAGAGTGGCCGGAGCGCCGGGCTCCTCCGTTGAACTTGCCTCTCCGGACAATAGGTACACAGCGTCCAAGTAGCTGCAGAGACACTTAAAAGGGGCTTGATTTTCAGTGTATTCTGACTGAGCGGTGGACGCCTTTCCTCTGCTCCACCTACTTGGTTTTACACGTCTCTGTCTCAGAGACAAAAATGAGAAATAGCTTAGAGACCACCTTGACTCAATTATTTAAAATCTTTTCTGCCTATTCTGTTCAGTAAATTTGGTTCCAATCCTTACTGCATCATTTTTTTTATGTACTGATTTTTTTTTTTTTTTTTTAAGTTAACAGCCAGAATAAGGGCTAGTTTGTGCTTTCTTGACTGTCTTTCTGCCCCTGAATGCAGATGGGACCCCAGTGTCTATTAAGTGCGTGCGCCTACATAGCATTCGTATATTTATCTAAAAATATCATGGAAGTTTGCATCTTTGTATGCAAACCATAATCATAAGCAATATAACTTATAAAGTTATTATGTAATGTTTTAATTTAAGATTTTTAATTTTTTTGTTGTTTAATCAAAGAGAGCGTCCCCAGATGGAGATCGCAGACGCTCCTGGGATTTAGGCAGAGGGCTCTCGTCTTGCCACATTTAGCGCTTGAACAGTTTCTAAGAGCTTCAGTTTCCCAGCCGGGTTTACAATAAGAACAGGAGTTGACCCCCACCTGGACCATCATCAGGTCTGGGTGCGGCCATGTTCTCCAGCTGACATAGGTCAGCCCTCAGCCTGCCTGAGGTAACTCGGGACATGTCTCCTCTGGTGGCTGCCTGTGAGCTGGGTCCACTAGCATGAAGGACTTTGCTCCCCTCATTATGAAGAGTGGAGAACTGCATTCACATGCAGGCCGCTAGAGTAGACATGTCACCTGTCTGTTGCTCACCACAGCTCCTCAGGTTAGCTGAACCCGGTCAAGACACAACTGTGCACATGTGCGTCTTCCCCCTGGGGAGTCTCTTCTGGGAGGGCTGTGCCGAGTGAGTGCCCACTCTTAACCACCATGGAGCATGACAAGGTGTCGTTCTGGAAGGATGCTCGGCGATGGGGGGAGAGGGGTCTCAAAAGCTCTGCTTTTTAGGGCCGTCCAGCTTTGTTGCAGGTGTCTTGTCTAAACACAGGCCCTAGGATTCTTAGATGCAGCTTGCAAGGGCAACCAGGCTCACATCAGCTCTGTGTCCACCCCATAGAGTGGAATGTGCACCGAGGCAGGGAGGGTGTGTCTATGGGTCCTTGGTTCTGGGCACACACTCTGTAATGTCAGGGTACTGTATTTAATGATAATAAAAGACAACTTGAAAACAAGTATGCTTTCTTAGCTATACAATGAGGGCTCTTGGATCAGCTGTGAGCAGGCCCGAGCCCTCGGAGACATTAGCAGCAGGTGAGTACCAAAGAGGCAGACAGATGGGGCCCATCCTGTGGGTTACTTTTGGTGCTTTACAAAAGGTGAGGGGTTAAGTATGCTGTCGGGCAATGCTGGCTTACTTCAGGCTCCTTCCTGACCTCTCAAGAATGGGGTCCCCAAGAGCCCATGCTGGGCAACGTTCACAGAACAGTTTTTTATCCACGTTTTTACACAATACAGTCAAAACAAAGATTAGACCAACTGAGGATAAATGTTTTTTAAACAAATAACTTACCATTTTACTAAATCAACAAAGTTTCATCTTTTAAAACTGATAATCCAACTGAGGAGACGAAGACAGTGATGGGCCGTGAGCTGGGAGGTGCTGAAGCTGGCAGTGGCTCCGTTACTCGTGAAGACACGTGGGGTTTTCTGTGACGACAACTTGTTCTTTGTACTAGCCGCAGAGTGTAATAAACACGGAAGAAGCAGAACCAGGTAAGACAATGGTATGAATTTCATTTATTAAAACAGTACTCCTCACCTTCCTCAGATCACAGAACTTAGAAGCAGTGCTGTATTGAGCCACCATCCTGCTGGGTGACCCCCCCAAGGCTTGGGACCCCACACTTTACAAAACAGTCCTGAAGCTTTGGGGGGAAAAGCTATTGTACACGACATTTACATTAGAAAAGACCGCGTTCCCCTTAGGAAAAGGTTGCTCCACAGTTGGGACACCTCCGCTTTCTCAAGGCGAAGCAGCAGATGAACCCGAAGGGAAACAAGATGATGGCCAAGAAGATGCCCAGGAAGGTGAACGTGTCCTCCAAGACCCCGACTCTATGGAGAGAGAGAGAATAGGGAGTTGGGGCCTGGATTTCTAGGGAAAGCAGCAGGCAGCCCCGGAGCATGCTGGGAGCTGCTGCTATCAGCTCTGCACACCGTGGAGGGCAGGGGAGACGTCACTTGAAGCCACTGAGCACTTGGGAAAACGAGAGCAGTCTGCTGACAGAACCGGCCACGTGTCTCCCTCCCTGCACTAAGGAGCACAGTCAATTCCAGAATTGTAGCATCTGAAAAATCTAGGTCTAGTCTCCCTTTCAACACAGTTAACTGGGGGAGAGATGATCTTAGATAGTTCTATAACCCCCTAGATGGTTACTCACATTTTAGAAAAATGGAGTAAATACCAGCCATGTTCATATACTATCTACAAGGCCATCTATCATAAGAAAGGTATGATTTCTAAGTGTTGGATTTGATGCTCATCATATAAAGGGACTTCCATAAATTCCTGGAAATTTTTCATCTTCCACAAACTTTATAAATCTCCTGCATCTAATATCTAAGTCACCTAAATGTGTCATCTCCGAGGAGCTAAGCCAGGCCCGATAGATGTGACATCACCACACCCGGTGACATCAGGGTGACCCTGCACAGGCCAGGCTCCTGCAGCAGCTGAGAACCAATAAGGATATTAGTAGGGAATGAAGTGGACCCTTCCAGCAGCTTTAAATGAAAGCTTTCCTCAGGCTGACCAACTCACAGTGACCAGAGAGGCAGGGTTTCTGAGGAACAGCTAGTGAGCTTCAACCACTGACCCTGAGGTTCAAACCGACTTTGCAGTCCAGCACATTAGCCCACAATGCCACAGCATGGTGTTATTGAGGGGGAGTTTCACACTGGCCACCGGAGGCCCCCCCATATACACACCCCCATCATTTCAGCCTCCTCTTCGCGGCCCACTATGGCCACTGCTGCTCCCAGGCTTGCCGCCCTGTTGGAATGTCCAGTTAACAAAAAGCAGAGCAAGTACCAAGGCGTCCCCACGCTGCAGACTCTAGACGTTCCTCAGGAAGGGTGCCCACAATGAACAGGTAGTGATCAAAGATTTGTCTTGTAACCCTTACCCCTGAAGAGGTCTGGTCACTTGGCAAGTGGCCTTACAGTGAAGTACGGAAAGAAAAGCAGGGGTAGTACCTGTGATGGTGCCCACACATCTGGACAGGGAAGAAAGTAAGTAGTCACTGGGGCCGAGAGTCTACCATGAAACACAGACTAAATGACTGAAACCAGAAGGAATAGATGGTACCCGGCTACCACTCCCTGCAGAGTCATCATGGACACCACGCCATGATGGCTCTCAAAGTCCCTTTGATGAATAGCCCTGGACTCTATTCACCCATTCCCAAACTCTCTGCCAACGCCCTTTTTGGGTAAACGTGTGTTAACCAGACAAGGGCTGAGGGTCCACAAGGAAACTGTGTTCAGTATTATCAAATGAATTCTAACAGCAATTTCAGAGACTAGAGTAGAACTTTCGGGGAGTAAATCTTCAGGTATTTTCACCCTGGAGCAGCTGGATGGGTTCGAGCTACTGCCTTTCTGGTGAGCAGCTGAGCACTTAAACCACTGTGTCACCAAGCCTCCTTAAAAGTATGAGGCCTGCTTTTGTATCCACTTGGGAAGTCCCCCTTTCCTGTCTGGACTGTATTGTGTCAGCAAAGTGGTGCCAAGCATCGGACCCTTAGGTCCACATGCACGAATGCCCCTCAGAGGAAAGTCCCAGAAAAGCGGGTTCCAGTTAGAATATCCCACAGACAGGCAGAGGTGGTCCATGATCAGAGCCATTAGGAGCCCAGTGTGTCTGGTCACAGAAACTCTAGTAAGGTGCACGTCCCATACTAGCAGCCCCATCTACAAGAGGGGCTGTGCCTCTGGGTCCCAGGTGAGGGTGCCCCTAACCTCCTCCCTGGTTCTCCACCCAGATTCCATCCTGGCTAAAGGCCACCCAGAGCCTGATCCCCACACACCCACTCATACCACCTAGAGCTGCGGTCATTTCCCATCCAGACCCACCCCCAACTCCCTCCTGGGCAGAGCTGTCCCGTCAGTACTTAAGGAAGAGCAGGAAGCTGGTGTGGGTGCTGATCCCACAGTTCCAAGCACTCCCCACTGTGGGGACACACCACACTCCAGTTTCCACAATTCCAAATGCCAAAGGGCTTGGTGAGGGGAATGTGGGTGGGGGGTAGAGTGCTTGTGTGGCTGGCTTATAGTCATCTCAGACTGCCCCAGCCCATAATGGGTGTCATCAGCATAATCTGCAGACTGAAAATCCAGGGGTTCCTGAATCGAGAACCCACCTCAACTCTTCTAATGGTCCAATCCACAAGCCACCATGTAAGACACAACTACAGGGTTCCCCCGTGATCCTAAAGTAGGGCGTTTCTGTGAAGCCCACACAAAACAAGGAATAACCACTTATATGGGGAAATCTTAAGTGTGCTCAGACTCACAACTAACCTACTAAATCATAACCACATCACACAGAGCCTACTACACACCATGTTCCCAGACAGGGCAAAGCTAGAGGGCTTGAGGTTCACTGGGAAAGGAGCCTGGCGAAGCCACTCGCTCAGTAAAGACGGCTGGTTTCGTGCTTTGCCTTTTTTCACAAAAGTGAAATGGCGTAAAGCAAGCTCTGAAAAAAATAGGGAGTGAGGGGTTGGTGGTACCTGTTTTGGTCTGTCCAGAATAAAAGAAAAGGGAAGGAACCAAAGGCTCCAAGCAGAAATAGTCGACACGGATCCTAAGACCCAGGAAAGCGAGCTGGTCCCACTACTAACACTCTAATCAGGAGCACGCAGATCCGGACAGAATGGGAGAGCCAATGTGGAACAGAACTCAAATTCTTGAAAAGCCCAGATTTGGGGGCCTAGCATGGATCAAATGGTTTCACCCACCACAATATAAAGTTGACAGACTTGTGGGAAAGTGGAGACTAGAGACACCCCCTGATACGAAAGCCCCTAACATTACATTAGAAGGTCCTGGATGGAGGGGGAGAGAATGTGGGACAATACTCAAAATCACAGAAGAGACTGGACTTACTGGTCTGACAGAGACAGACCAACCCCTGAGGCTCTAGCCCTTGGACACCCTTTAGGTCTGGAACCGAACTTACCCCGTGGCTCCATTTTCGGCCACACAGTAGATGAGGGGACAACAACCCTAGTGAGGTACACACACCATGGATTGGGAAAGGGCAGCCCGGCCCCAAGAACAAAGTCCAGAAAGGTGGGGGAAAGAGGAATGGGAACAAGAAACCAGGAGGAAGTGGGAGAAATGATGTCACATGGAGGGGACTGCAATCACTGAGCTGAAACTAAGCGCATGATTTGTCAAAGGGAAAACTGATGAAATGCTCTGTATACTTTCACCCAATTCACAGAAGTTTAGAAAGTTAAGAGTCCTTTAACACTAAATAACTGAACGGCTCATAAAATAAAGACTACCACCTGTGAGTAAGACTCCCATTGTGCTCCTCTGAAACACCATCTATGTGAGACCAACCAGTGAACATTCTAAAGCAAACAGTAAGCAGGGGGCAGGGAAACTAGATTCCTGGAAACAAAACAACTAGAACGGAAGTCATGAGAAAGTTAACACACTTTCTCACTATTTATGAAATGTCACTGAAGAAACTAGAAATTGCTCAGTGGCAACCTAATCTGTGTCAACTTTTCACCAGAAGCACACAATTAAAGAAAACACTCACAGGACACATCTGCCCACTGGCTGCCCCCATGGCTGAGGCTCAGGCTGCAGCTCTGCCTCCAAATTTGAGCAATCCCTCAGGGTCATGCGGGGGAGGCCACGGGAAGTATGAAAATTGGGGAACCATTTCTGAAGACACTTCCTTCACCTCGCAGAGAAAGTGGCCCTAGGAAAGGAGGGGGCACGGGGGCACCAGGCAGGAAGCCCCTTGTCCTCCACTCACTCCATCCCCACCCCCCTCACCAGAGGCACGGGGCCCAGACACTCGGGGCGACCCGCGGTCAGTGCACTGTCTGGAATCCCCCACAGACCGTCTCTCACCACCCCCAGGGGCACTAGTTGGGAGCCACAGTTCAGATGGGCAAGATGGGGGTCCCAGACCTGACCCAGCCAAGAGCCCTCACCCCTCCGGACACTGGTGTGCCTCCCAGAGCCCTGGCTCCCCACCCCTTCCCCTCTCCCAACCTATCCTGCCCACTTTCCAGAAAGCCACCCAAAGGGTGAGGCATGGCAGCTGGGAAGAGCCTCTGGGCTCTGTTTTGAGGTTTCTGTAGCACTCTAGACAGATAACCACTGGGCCCTTCCACACACCAGGCACCCTCAGCACCAACACACACACACAGCACACAGGCTGTCCTCACTGGGGTGCCGGGCCTGGGACCCTGCCCACGCCCACCCGCCACCCCGGAGCCAGGAGTCCGCCTTATCAAAGTCCCAACATTGTGGTGACATCCTGCCCTCTCCCAGGGTTCACCCTGGGCCACCAGCTGCCCCCACCCCGACCCCATAGCCTGACCCTGAACTTGGCAGTCCCTAAAACCCCCCAGGACCCAGTGGCCCCTGATGAGGCTAGCCTGGGTCAGGACACCCTCTAATCTCTCCCCCTGGGCTTGCACCTGGGAACACCCCACACCCCACCGAGGCGTGCCTGCCTGTGAGTGGCTCCAAGGGGAAGGTGGGGTCACTGCTAACTCAGGCGCTGCCAGGCAGCAGTGACCAGACGGCTCGCCTGCCAAGCCCCACTTGCTTGGCGGAACCACGGCAGCCAGCGTGTGACTGCCCATGTCTGCCAAGCTCCAGGGAGGGGACACGGCCCAGCAGGTTGGGCCAACTCCTGTCTCCCACCCCCAAGAGGCCAGCACCTGGCCAACCAAACTCTTCTCACAGGGACATGTCTCATACCCTCTCTCAGAGGGCAAGCTGTCCCAGGGAGTCACAACCGCAGCCCCCAGAGCCAACAGGGGACACCCCTGCCTTTCCTCCTTCCTGCCCCCTGGCCCAGCCTGGCACTGTGAGCTCCAAGAAGGCCTCCAGGAGCCCCAGAGTGCACTGTGACAGAGTACAGTGCTGGGGGCCACCATGGGAAGGACCTGCCGCTCTGCATCCCTCCTTCCCAGAGACAAGGGGCATTGGGGCCACAACACAGGGGGAATGAGTGTAAAGGCCTGGGACCCACCTTGTCTGAGAAAACCCACCTCTTGCCATCCAGGGGTAGAGGGGACTGGCCGACTCCCAAACAAAAGGTGCCTACCCTCTGCCCAGACCTGTCTCTGAAGACCAGATGGGTACAGCATGTCCTTGTCCAGCTTCTGCCACACCTAGACAGCCAACATTTCCCAGAACCATCCTGGCCACATCCTCCCACTTCTACAGGCTACACAAACCTGGCCTCCAGTCCCCCGAGCTCAGGCCAAGAAGGACCTTGGACATCACAGACACCCCATTCCCCAGACAGGAAGCAGGCCCAGCTGATCCCTGGTGGCCAAGGATCCAAACCCAGCACTGTCCAGCTGCCTTCTCTCTTGGAAGACCTCTGAGAGACCCCAGCCCAAGAAAACATTGTCCATGGGCACCTCAGCAGGCTCCCCACCACCCACCTTGGAACACACTTCTCCAAGGGGCTGTCTGAACTCTGGGAGGGTGCAACTCCCCGCTCAGCATCTGACCCCCCGCCCCTGTCCACATAGCCCTTCCCTACACAGCCAGTTCCAACACCCCCAGAGGGCAGATGAAAAGTACCTAGTTTTCTTCCTCATGTTCTTCAAACTCCTAGCCCGGTGCCAATTTGGGTTTGTGAATGGGGGTTTCCTCATGGCTCTCTCCTGCCCCACAGCCCCCATTCCTAAAAAAGGAAGGTGGCGTGGACAAGGTCCAGTCTCCTGGGTTCATCTCTGATGGCCCCCTACCCTTGCCAGACAGCTGTTTCCACCACTGTGTGCCACCGTCTGCTCCCGCCTCATCATGTGACTCAATCTGGGCCTATACACACACACTTCCAAAATTCAATCTAGGTCTACACCAGCATTTCTTAATCTCTCCTGAGACTTCACCTGCCTCCTCCCAACCACAGCCTGGAACCTGTCCTTTATTTTTTTAAACTTTTTATTGGGAATTGAGCGCAGGTGTAGAGGGCAGCTCTCCCATCCCACCTCAGTGACTGCAGTCACCTCAGTGCAGCATCACTTACCCACTGCCTCCGGGGGGGTTCTTGTTTCTTCCCCACCCTTCTGAATGTTGGCCTTGGGTAAGCAGACTTTGGTGTGCATCCCTCACTAGTGTTGTTGCTCCCACTAGATCTCTATCTAGTGCTTGCCTGACAGTTGAGCCATAGGAGTGAGTTCAGTTGCAGACCTGAAGGGTGACTGCAGGCCAGTCTCAGGGTTTCTCACCAGTCTCTGAGCAGTAGTTTCTTTTTTTTTTCAATCATTTTGAATTTTGTTCCACAAATCCTCCCACTCTATCCAGGACCTTCTAATGGGATCCCTTTCAAAGCTGACGGTAATGGTACCCGGGTACCATCTAGTTCTTCCTGTGAACCCAAGTTCACATGGTCCATTAGAACACTAGTCTAATTGTGTAAGCCATCCTTGCCAACTCTGCCTTGAATTTCTCAATGTCCCACGCACTCCTGCCTCCCAAGTCTCATTTGAATTTGTGTCCTCAAGACACACGCCAAAAGTGGTCGGGCGCCCTGTTGGGCTCACAAAAACAGTCCTCAGAAAATTTCTGCAAGATCTGTTTGAGGATAGGAACACTCTCTTGCCCCTACAAAAAGCCATGGGCTCCCACTCCAGCCAAGCCTAGGGATTTTGAGGTCCTGACTCAGATAAAGCCGCCCTCAGAGCTGCTGCCCCTGCCCTGGTCTCTCAGATGTGCCACTCCTTGGACACAATGGCCAAAGATTAGAGGTCTCCTGCCCCCACACCCCAAATGGCCCCTTCCAACAAAGCAAAACCTCCCATTGTTTTAAAGAATCAATTGTAGAATGCTTGGGGAAGTTGGAAGAAAAGAACAAACTTGATCCCAGGCAGGTGGGGAGGAAAGGCTGTTATTCTGATGGTCAGCGTCCTACACCTGAAAGCACTTGTACACTCCCCAAGACAGAGGACCAATGGGATGTGAGCCTCCAGTACCCATAAGCTCTACAGACTTCGCTCTCAAGTCCAAACCCACCTACTCCCCCACCCCACCCTTCTAAGGCCCTGGATACTGTGCCTACCTGCAGACTGGACAGCCGCCGACAACCACGATCGAGTTGGCAGGGTACCGGGTGACATCTCGACTGTGGATGCTGTAGACCCTGGGGTGGTGGGTGGGCAGCCCTGGGGTGGGAGTGGGGAGGCAGATGAGGAGAAAATTCAAGGAGTCTAAGACTGCCTCTCCTGCCCTACCGCCCCCGCAAAGAAATCCTTCAATCTTTACATCATCAAAGAAACAGCCTCTTGGCCCCTAAGTCCTACTATACAAAGTTCATTTGAAATCTGGGCCTCCAACCGGTTTGATCCAGTTCAACCCCCTATCAGAATTTGCCTTTCCACCGAAACGCTGAACCAGAACTGACATCCTAACACCATACTCAAGTCATGCTTACTGACCCCCAGGTGAGTCTAAAGGCAGACATGTATTTCCTGGGGGTCTAGTTAATATGTAGAATCCTAGTCACCGTATCTGCGGTGGGAATGCGAATCCTCAGCAGGGCATCCAACAGAATGAACCGGTTCAAAGCCAGGTTTGATGCGAGGCTGGGAACCTACATAGGACCGATGACGGGTGCAGAGGACCCCAAGCAGGTAGAGGACCGACCAGATGCAGCAGACCTCGGGAGGGTATAAGATCAGAGCAGGCAAGGGAGACCGTGAGGGCAGATGACCAGCTGCATGCAGCGGACCCAGGGAGGACAGAAGGCCGGCTGGGGGGGCACCAGAGCTTCAGGAGGGCAAAAGCCCGGCAGGTGGTATCGGACCCCAAGAACGCATTAGACTATGGGGCACCGGACCCCCAGAGGGTAGATGGCCAGCAGGGGGCACCGGATTACGGGTGGACTTAAGGCCTGCGGGCGGCACCCAGGGTGGAGGGCTGGGGTCCAGCAGGCAGTTGGGAAGACTTCTCCCGGAGGGGCGGGACCCCAGCGGGCCCCCGCACCCCTCCTCCGGGCCCCACCCCGCGGGGGCGTCGGGGAAAGTTTGTTTGGCGTTTAAGGTCACCGCGGTACTCGCCCCAACTTCGCCCGCCGCGCCCCGCGCCCTCCCCGCGGGCCCCGCGCGCACCTGCGACGAGGTAGGGGTAGGGCGGCGGCGCGGCGGGAATGGCCCCGTAGCCGTGCGGGCCGCACGCGTAGTCGCCCGGGCCGGCCTCCAGGTTGTAGGCGGGGGGCCGCTCCTGCAGCAGGGGCTTGTGGTCCATGGCTGCGGCCCCGCTCCACTCCCGCTCTCGCTCCCGCTCAGCTCCGGCGGGGACGCCCGGCCGGCTCCCTCCCACCTCCCGGACGCCGTGGGCTTCCCTCGCGCCTCCCCTCGAGCCCCCACCTCGCCTGTCACAAGACCCGGGTCACGTGGACTGCTCCCGCGGGGCGGGGCCGGGCACGGGGTGGGGCGTCTTAAAGGGGCCGTGCACCCTTCGGGGGATATCCGCTGCCCCACGACGGCCCGGAGATACCTGACTGGGACCTTTGTTGCCCCGCTCTCCCCGCCTTCCGCTGCGGAATCCACGACCTTCACGGACCCTGCACACCAGAACTGGACACCCCGGCCCACCCACCACGTTGTCCCTCTACCCTCCAAGCAGCACACCCTGGCCACACCCACACGGGGTCAGCGCCCCCAGCACGAGTAGCGGGGGTCGTCAGCATTTCCTGGACCCGCGAACCCACATTGGTGAAAAGACAAGCCTGCAGGAAAACCCCGGTGTGCACCCGAACCGTGACCTACTGCTCTCTCTGGATGTAATAGGTCATTTATGGGGATTGTGGCCACAGGCCACAAATGACTCCCCCGTTTGGGACAAAACCTTAATTGTTTGGGCACCTGCAGTTTAATAAACGCGGTACTATCTTGTTCTCCAGTTTCCACCCGGGAAGAGGGGGAGGGAGGAAATTGAGGGTCAGAAGAGGAAACTGCTTGACCAGGACTGTCAGGGCAGAGTCCTGACTTAAAGTTGAGTCTTGCCAGACCTCAAAAAGCCCTGCGTCAAGTACCCCCTGATGAACCAATGGTTAAGCAATCCCAGATAACTCAAAGGTTGGCTGTTAAAATCGACCCAGGAGCGCCTCGTGAGAAAGACCTGGCGATTTGCTTCTGTAAAGCCCACAACCTAGAAAAGTTTACTGGGCAATTCTACTGTCACATGGAGTCACCATGAGTGGAAAATCAACTCAGCGGAAACCAACAACAATGCTTCAAGAGGTCCCTGGACAGTGTAAACGGTTTGGGCTCAACCACCAACCTAAAGGTTGGCAATTCTAACCCCCACCCAGGAGTGCTGGTGCTGCGGAAGAAAGGCCTGACCATGTTAAGGTAAAGATGGCAGCCAAGACAAACCCTATGGGCACACAGTTCCACTCCATCACACATGGGGTCGCCATGAGTTGAAACTGACTAGAAGCAACACATTGGTTGGTTTTATGCTTCATGGGTTGTCAGTAAAACCTGAAAAAGAACCATCTGGAAATTTCAATCCCACATGTTAAAATTATTCCTTACATATGCCTCCCCTTTCTGTACCTTTCCAGGGTGTTCTGGGGTGATTGCTGTCTCCCACTCTTGTGATGTGATTCACACATCATTCAACTCTGGGGCAGCTAGGGCCCTCAGACCAGCCATCCCATTTCCTTCTCACAGCATTAGCTGACGTTTGGGAGAGAGCCTGGTGGAGTGTAGGCTGGCATGGGCAAAGGGCTGCGGGGCAAAGCAGAGAGTCACACTGTGGTGAGGAGGCCACCAGCTCCACAAGGAGTGGACAGTAAAGGTTCGACACTCACACCTGGTCAGCTATGCCCACCCACACAGGCCCCCATAACCCCACTACCATGCAAACTCCAAAGCTAAGCGGATTTCCTGAGAACATGGAGGTGGCTTTTCCTTCCTTTCCTCACATGCATGGGTGCACTTTACAAACTCCATAACATCCCAAACCTCTGGACTCTCTCACCTGCATTAACGGCAATATTTTCTCTAGCAGGGTCTCCTGGATAGACTGAAACCAGCCACTAAGGAGACTGCCACTCACGGAGACCTAATGTCCACCAGAACGAAACACTGCCCAGTCCTACGTCATGCTCCAGACCACCAGAATGTGCCAGTCCATTGCCTGATACAGTTCAATAATTTCCACATTCTGTTGGAATGGGCACAAATGTGGATCTCTATCAGTTGGTTGGCCAGGTAGCTGTTTTCAAATTTCTTGGCAGAAGAGAACAAACAAGATGGCGGATTGGGGGAAGTATAAAGGAGCTCCGCCAGCAACAACACAGAATACCCGACAAAGCAGGCTCAGGGGATGGTCCCAGAACTCTGAACCACATATAAAGGAATATTTAGAAGGTTGGAAGACTGACAGCTGGGGAATTTGTAGCAGAAGCATCCAGGACGCTCAGCTGCTCCAGGAGCCGCCATCTTGGGTGAGACCATGCAGGGGGAGGATCGGAGCGGCCATAGATGCCTGGCAGAACTGCAGGGATAAAGGTGTGGACATTCTTTTCTTTTAGTAGCGGTTCATTGGTCCATTGCTGTCTGCGCACCTCCATCCTGGTAACTACAGGGGTGCCTGAGCTAGGGGGAACCCCAGCCCCACCCTCAGAGGGCTCTATCACGCATGCGCACAGATCTCCTCGAAATTTAAAGAGACAGTTTCCAATTAAAACCAAACGGCCACAGTCAGCCCTAAACTGTTTACAAAAAAAAAAAAAAACACCTGAACGGGGATTGTGGAGTGGGACAAGCAGACAGAAAAGGAAATAAGCCGAAAATTAAATCCTAAATTATATCACAACAACCAAGAGTGACATCGTGAAATTTCTCAAGAGTGAAAAGGGAAACCCATTTCCTGATCACATCTACCTGAAGGCAATCAGAAAGCATAAATAATACAAAATACATACCCATCTAAGTATTAAGACCACAGATAACCCCTGAACATGCCCAAAAATAGAAGCAGATGACCATATCAGCACATGTCCAGAAACGAGATAAAGTGACTGAGGCAAATGATACCGGAAGATGGACAGGCTTTGGAAATGCCAGAGAAGGAATTCAGAAAAATGATTATAAAATGTATCAAAACACTATACAATGGAGTTGAGAAAAATAAGGAAAAAGTCAGGAAAGCACTACAGGAACAATCAAATAACAGAAATACAGCATTGGAAACAATTCAAAACCTACAGAAAGAGGTCCAAACGATTAATAATAGAATATCAGAAATGAATAATACACTGAAAGGGCAAAGGAATAGAACTGAAGAGATAGAAGCTAGAACTAGTGAGCTAGAAGATAAATCTCTCAACACTACTAAGATAGAAGAACAAACACAAAGAAGGATAAAAACATCTGAAGAAGGCCTAAGATTCATGTTGGATAACATGAAGAGGAATAACTTAAGAATTATTGGCATTCCATAACAGGAACAATCACACAAGTCCACAGAGGAGATAGTTTAAGAGCTTCTGGAAGAAAATTTTCCTAACATCATGAAAAGTGAAAAGACAAGCATTCAAGAAGCTCAACGAACCCCAGAATTGATAGACCCTAAAAGACAATCACCAAGACATAATAATCAAGCTCTCCAAAATCAAAGATAAAGATAGGACCTTGAAAGCAGATAAGGAAAAGAGAAATATAACATACAAAGGCAAGCAAATCAGATTAAGCTCGGATTTCTCAACAGAAACCATGCAAGCAAGAAGGCAATGGGGTGACATATATAAAACCCTGAAAGAAAAAAAACTGCCACCCAAGAATCCTCTACCGAGCAAAGCTGTCAATCAAATACGATGGTGTAATCAAAACATTCCAGGATAAACAGAAACTAAGAGATTTTGCCAAAGTCAACCCTGTTCTGAAAAACATCCTAAAGGAAGTTCTGTGGACTGAGAACCAAGAAGAACACATAACAACTACAGAATGACATACA